TCACCTTTCAAACTTGTAACTGATGTCCTGCTACATAAACAAAGGACGGGAGTTCATGGCTGTCAAAAGTTAATCGAGCCACATTGCAAGGGTATCATCTCCGCCCGCGGGCAGGAAGGACATAAGTGTCTACCTTGAGGATTGGGAGATCTTGGAGTTCCAGCTGTTCAAGAATGTCATTGCCACATGTCTGAAAATTCTGTTGGACTATGGTATGGGGCAGAATGATAGTACTACTACAAGAATTGAGGGAATGATGTTTTTCGATAGTGACAGGAATAGCATCGATACGTGAAAAGAGAAAGATCATGAGCTTGGGTAGCATTCTGGACAGTGATGATGCATGCACCGCTCTTTAGAGCATGAAAGGAAATATCTACCAACATGGCGGAGGAGCGCCTTGCCAATACTGTGGTCTGAAAGATAGGCAATAGAGGAAGTCAGTCATAAAGTAAAGAATTTAGTCCATTGTGCATTCCAAAACTGAGCATGGAAAGGGAGTGCTTGACATGTTGATCTTTTTGAGAAGAACAAGGTGGTGGTGAAGTATCATCATCAGGCAACTGTTGTTGGCGTTTAGGAGTGGGACCGGGCTGGCGATTCGAAAATTGCCGCACCATAGAGGGAGAGGCCGGAAGCATAGTCAAAGGAGAGCGAAGGTCAGACAAATCGAAGGAGTCAGTCAAAACCCAGGTACCTGAAGTGGGTGAGAAAACAGCACCAGCAAGAGGTACAGAGGCATCAGGAGTGTCCGAAGAGTGGTCAAAAAACGAGGCAGGGTCAGAATGGGGCGCAGCATCAAGGGGCCCGGGGGTAGTAGGTTCATGGATTGGGTTCTCCATGGTTAGGTTACTTCTTTTCTTTTTATTAAGAAAAAAAAGAAAAAAAAAAAAAAGAATAAAAAGGGGAGCAGGGAGGAATAGTTCCTAGGAGGAATGAAAGGGCCAGAAATCTCCTTCTGCGCTCATGAGGACCTCAGCACCGCAAGTAGTGCAGATGCAGCATGGAACCCGTGCCATACCCTACCCTTCATGCCAATAAACCAGCAATCCGGGATAGCAACCTCACATCTGCCGAGCTACCTCGGTGGACAAGAGAGGGCAGCCGGATATCTGCCACAAAGCATACCTCCTTCGGCCACCACCCCCGGAATCCAAAAGGCAGCTTCCAAGATATTCCAGTCGCCTGAAAGACGCCCAAAGCCACCCACCGGGATACCGGAGAGGGATCGGGACATCCCCAGGCGATCCAGATTCCATGGCAAACTACGCCACCGCCAAGAACCTCAACAGAATGGGATGGGCCCCGGTACCCTTCCCTCTACCAAGGAACCAGCATGCCTGTGGGAAGAATCCTGCAGGCCAGAAAGAGAAAGGAAATAAGGGAGGGACGGGGAGGAGGAAGAGGAAAGTTAGTTTAATATCTTTATTATGCACCCATACCCATCTGTGGGCGGTAGTCAAAAGATTACAAAGGTACATAATGGGTCCAGGGACTGGACTCCAAAGTTATGATATCTGAACTAGTTACAAAGGTAATGAACTCCAGGTATATCTGGTCACAATCATGGCAAGTTACAAAGGTAATGAAACAGCCTCACTCCTATACATGGTTACAGTCATGAACAAATTACAAAGTAATGAGCCACTGATACGTCCACACCTGGTCACAATTGTAATGAGTTATAAATACAATATTAAGTGGGTCATACACCCACACGAGCGCGTGCGCACACACACACACACACACACACACACACACACACACACACACACACACACACACGAGGGCGCACGCACAGACATATGCACACTAGCGTACAAATATATGCATACACACAAGCACGCGCACGTGCACACACACACACCACACACACACACGGTAATGCATTATTTACAGCTAGCAAAGTCAGGGCATTTCTCCAGAAAAGGAAAGGGAAAAGGGAGGGTGGGAAGGATGGGATAGGGAAGGGGGAATTGGGGGGTAATTAAGTTCGGTCTGAGGAAGGAGACCAACAGGTCTAATTCCTCAGACCAAGAGCCTCTCCACCATGCCAAGGAACCCCCCCCCCCCCTTGAAGAGGCAGACAAAACAGAAAATGGGCATCATGCCAATCATGCCAAGATGGATCATTTACCTCTGCATATAGGCTCAACAGGGGAGGAATGAAAAGCATCTAGACATAATCCTGGATGAATGGGACTAAGTCGAGAGAGGCTGTGTTACGATCTCGTATGCAATTCATCACTTTGATAATACTACCATGCTAGTAACTTGGTTATTAGCTAAAACGAAGCTGCTGGATTGTTGTAATGTTATCCTATTCATCCCTCATATGTTTGTGTTATTTGATTATTAAAGAAATGAATATGTATTCATGTCTGGTTATGAGCTCATTTATATGTAAAAGTACACAATTATCATTGTACAGTTGAAGGGTATGGCTGGTTAGCGACATCACAAATTGGTGCCAAATATTAAGTATATCACGTGATCCAACGTGACCTGTGGTTCACGAGGGATTGTCTAGGCACTCTTGACTACGCTGAGGGAGCTTTATACTCTGGTAGAAGACATCGTGGCAGTGCCTACGCTATGAAGCTTTAAAGGCTTGTACGTAGCCCATGTGTGTGTTTAAGGAGCAAACTACTCATTCCTCTTCGACTCTGTCTACCGTGTATGCCTGAAACTCGAGAAAAAATATTCCAAGTGTATTATTATTATAATCAAAAGAAGCGCTAAGCCACAGGGCTATACAGCGTTCCAAGTGTATTACGTCTTTAAAAGACTATCTTACGTGATACTATATCTGTATTAATGGAATTTGTATATTATAAATCTTTCTTATTTGCACATTTAATTATCATTCACTAAAGCAGATTGTCTAGTATATGAAAGTAATGTCTTGTATTACTTAACCCTTTGACTGTTTTCGACGTATAATACGTCTTAGAGCCAATGTTTCCGACGTATATATACTCAATAATTCTAGCGGCTTCAAATCAAGCGGGAGAAAGCTGGTAGGCCCACATGTGAGAGAATGGGTCTGTGTGGTCAGTGTGCACCACAAAAAAAATCCTGCAGACACATTGCGTAATGAGAAAAGAACCGATAGTTTTTTTGGAATAAAACGCCGACTTTGAGGTGTATTTTCGTATAGTATTTATCGTTGTAATCACGTTTTCATGGTCTTAAGTGATAAAATGGAAAACATATTACAGAAATAGAGATGATTGTCATTACTTTGACGATGAAAACGACCTTGAAACTGAGCTCAAAGTAGCAGAAATGTTCGATTTTTACCAATGTTCAGGAGTAAATAAATCACACCACATGTCCAATACACGTCAACTGGGGAGTCTAATATTCTTTCACTAATGCACTGATATTTATACCATTTTTGCAATAATGCAGTAGTCGGTATAACAGTAAATTTTGTATTTTTTTGTATGAATAAAAAATCAAAAAAGAAAGCAATAATAATATGAGGGGCCTAGAGATGCGACTAATGAACAGAGCATATGTTATTTTAGTGCCACGAATGTCTACCTTGTTTATTCTGGACCCTATTTTGAAATTGGCATCTTTTTTAGTTTGCGTGAAATTGGCCAAATTGCCAATTTCTGACCACCATATTGGGTAGTCCAAATTAGTAAATGGGAGGTTTCTTGTACTCAGCTGATAGATAAAATGGAGTTCTAAAGAAATAGCTATGAGTTTGGTCAACTGGAACAATGGAATTGGCTTAAAATAGGGCTCAAATTCGCGGAAATCGCCGATCGTATATGTCGCCGAGACCGCTAACTTCACGGGAGCATAATTCCACGAGTTTTCGACCAAATTTCGAACTTTTGGTGTCATTACCATCGGGAAAAGATCCTCTATCATTTCATAAGAAAAAAAAATTTTTTTTTAAAAAATTGAGCGACATAGAATGAGTTTCAGAAAGGGGCCTGAAACAGTCAAAGGGTTAAATCTTAAAGGAACCCAAACAGTGCATCTTTATATTTATATATTTTATACCTATCTATAAGATGAGGTATTTATACTTGTTAAATTAAAATAATTTTTGATGAAGTTTTGATTTCCTGATGGTAATTATATACGTTATTGATAGAAAAATCAAGGAATGCTAACTTAAAGATTATTACAAGAAAGAAAACCTTTCCTTAGGAGAAATTCTCCTCTTCTATTGTTAAAGAACAAAGCACTCCTCAAGCTCGTAATAGGCTGCAAGTAGATTTAGCCACCATAGTTTAGTTTTATCTCCATGGGGAAGCGGAACAGAATTCTTCCCCCATACCCTGTGTGTGTCTTAAGAGGCGACTAAAATGCCGGGAGCAAGGGGGTTAGTTTTTCTTTTTGGGTCTCTGCCTCAGTGGGATATGGCCAGTTTGTTGAAAGAATGAATTTATTTTTGATAAGATTAGGATTTCCAAGGGGATTCAACTGTCTGGCAATTTGTTTCCAGGGAGGTAATACCAGGTTTCCAGAACAGCTGTCAATCAAACAGAAGTCCAAGAAATCTGACCATATCACATTGAGGGATATGGGAATCATACAGGTATAATGGAGTATGAGACAACATTAAGCCTAATAAAAGTAATATGGAGTGTTTTAGTTTTAGAAAATTTAAACCCACAGGTAGCTTGATATAAAAAAAAAATGGAGGGTTGGGGAAGCTCCAACTCTTAGGCAGAAAGCCTTCACCAGCAGCAAAGCACCTTTCTCAGTGTGGATGTTCAAAGATATTCCAGATCATTAGAAGGTTGAGGCATTATGCTTTGCATCAGGTCAACATACATGGTTTTCCAAGCAAGGACAACTCAACTGGACGAGAATCTGCGGAGACTAAAGACTGAAGAGTTCATGATAATGTTAGGATTACTACATAAAACTCATTAATATGGTGTCAAAGGATCATACACTGTATTTGTGTGTAATTGTAGTTTATACAATCTCTTCAATTAACTTATGTATTGGGTAATAAAAGCAATCTGTTTCTTTATTTTTTTATTACACTGTATGACAAATACAGAACCCAATCCAGGATAATGTATAGCCAACAAATATGGTACAAAATTTAAATAAATCTAAACTAATTAAAAATCTTCAATGCCTCCAAGCTTAATTTTTTTTGTTTCTAAATCTCTAGAAATGCTTTTAATTTAAAAAACAATAAAAACTAATGAAATCTTTATTAAAAGGAACATTCCAACATTTAAAGTATGCTATTTGTTTGCCTATCCCACATGCTGGATACAATTTGATTTGATCCAATAATTTAGATTAAAATTTAGTAAACAGGATTATGGCAAGATTATATAAAGCCAAAAAATGCTAGGTCCTATCCAATTGTGCCATGATACATAAGCAGTGTTAGTTGCAAGACAAAACATTACAATAGACTAAGTTATCTGGGTTTTCTGTACGTGTATGAAAGTTACGTGATTTGGTACACTTAGTATCTTAGACATCTCTTATAAAAGGCTATGAAATGCTTTATCAGAAGATTAAAAAGACTAGGAGTCATAAAATTATTTAACCTTCAGCCTCCAAGTTGTGCCAAATGCAAGAAAAACTTTCCAGTTAATTCTTATCTTACAAAATATAATTATACTTCTATTCACGAATACCAGTGCCATAATTTGCACCACCTGCCTTCACTAGTTCCTGGAGGAAGGCTTCATGATTCAGTTCATTAGCACTCTCCAATGTCAACTCCACTGCAAAGTTCTGTAGCAAAAGAAAAAAAGAAAAAAGAAGATTAATGCTAATTTTAAGCATTGTAATAAATACAGTACAATACAACCACTATCAGAGGGTCAGGTTTCTGTGGTTTCAGTTATCCACAGTTTCCCTGGCCAAAAAAACCCTTAATATTACTTAGTAATGACCCGAGTGCAAAAGTAGTGATGGTGACAGTTCAAAATCTCAGTGGTAGTGAAGTGCTTCCCAGTGAAAAAGTGCTAATTTGACTTAGTGTGGGGGCATTGTGTGCGCTCCAGAGGCGAGTTTTTATAACTTTTTTTAAGTTGTGGCCATCATACCAGGGTGACTAAACTGTCAAAACACTGGTTAGCCCAGAGTTATGTCAGGAAGAGAGAAGGGCATTGTTGAGATGCACCATGTGGGAGAACAGCTAAGGAGTGCGTAGACTTATGTTTTGAATATGCGAGTGCTGTAATTGTACATTCTGTACATATCTATTTAGAATACAGTTATATTTTTATAGTAGTTTAAATAACCTGTGAAGAGGGCTGGTGAAAGGATCGGAGACACTGAGGATGATCAGTCATGATATAAGTATTACCCTAGACATGAGGCCTTTATGTTAAAGCTACCCCACACTAGAACATGTGGCGAGAACCTTACTATCAAAGTAACAAGGGAAAACACATAATGTAACGTAACGCCTGTACCTGCCCCATGCAGCACATTTCAAACATACCGCCTGAACACAAGCAGGAGACTACCAAGGCATGCACTTCTGAGAATGCCTGCCGAGGTTTGGGGTATAGAATGAAGCTGTAGTCAAAACTGAGGTCGAGAAAACGTGTAAAAGCTCATCAATGGAGGACGAAGAAGGAACCTCACTAAAAGCAGTTAGATGCGAGTAAAGGTCCCAATCTGCTCTGTCAAATTGCCAGTGTGGGCTATGAGGAGGTGGTGATATGAAGGAGACTCAAGGATGATTGGAAATGATTGTTGCCATGCAAAGTCTGGGGGGACAGACTAGGCGAAGTCTAGTACAATTGAAGAGCAGACCAAGAGATTGACGAAAGAGAACGAGTACACACGAGGATCAAAATGGATGGGAGTACCCATATTTAAAACATTGAAGGGGTAGATCAGCGAGAAAAGCCTCCAACTGAATGTCACAGGAGTCGCAGTGAGAATCCCCCCACCCGGAGGAAATGGTGGGCATTAAAATCGCCAAGTAACAGCAGTGGTGGTAATAAGGAAGAAACCAGAAATACAACATCTGGGATAGATAATGCCTAAGAAAAGATTTTTTTTTTTTTTTTTTTAACAAGGCGGCCATCTCCCACCGAGGCAGGGAGACCCAAAAAAGAAAAAATCCCCAAAAAGAAAATACTTTCATCATCATTCAACACTTTCACCACACTCACACATTATCACTGTTTTTGCAGAGGTGCTCAGAATACAACAGTTTAGAAGCATATACATATAAAGATACACAACATATCCCTCCAAACTGCCAATATCCCAAACCCCTCCTTTAAAGTGCAGGCATCGTACTTCCCATTTCCAGGACTCAAGTCCGACTATATGAACATAACCGGTTTCCCTGAATCCCTTCACTAAATATTACCCTGCTCACACTCCAACAGATCGTCAGGTCCCAAGTATCATTCGTCTCCATTCACTCCTATCTAACACGCTCGTGCACGCTTGCTGGAAGTCCAAGCCCCTCGCCCACAAAACCTCCTTTACCCCCTCTTTCCAACCTTTCAGGACGACCCCTACCCCTCCTTCCTTTCCCTATAGATTTATATGCTTTCCATGTCATTCTACTTTGATCCATTCTCTCTAAATGACCAAACCACCTCAACAAACCCCTCTTCTGCCCTCTGACTAATGCTTTTATTAACTCCACACCTTTTCCCTAATTTCCACACTCCGAATTTTCTGCATAATATTTACACCACACATTGCCCTTAGACAGGACATCTCCACTGCCTCCAACCATCTCCTCGCTGCTGCATTTACCACCCAAGCTTCACATCCATATAAGAGTGTTGGTACTACTATACTTTCATACATTCCCTTCTTTGCCTCCATAGATAACGTTTTTTGACTCCACATACACCTCAACGCACCACTCACCTTTTTTCCCCTCATCAATTCTATGATTAACCTCATCCTTCATAAATCCATCTGCCGACACGTCAACTCCCAAGGATCTGAAAACATTCCCTTCTTCCATACTACTCCTCCCCAATTTGATATCCAATTTTTCTTTATATAAATCATTTGATACCCTCATCACCTTACTTTTTTCTATGTTCACTTTCAACTTTCTACCTTTACACACATTCTCAAACTCATCCACTAACCTTTGCAATTTTTCTTTAGAATCTCCCATAAGCACAGTATCATCAGCAAAAAGTAACTGTCAATTCCCATTTTGAATTTGATTCCCCATAATTTAATCCCATTTACTTTTACATTCACATTTAATCCCCATTTACTTCTTTTACAACCCCATCTATAAATATATTAAACAACCATGGTGACATTACACATCCCTGTCTAAGACCTACTTTTACCGGGAAGTAGTCTCCCTCTCTTCTACACACCCTAACCTGAGCCTCACTATCCTCATAAAAGCTCTTTACAGCATTTAGTAACTTACCACCTATTCCATATACTTGCAACATCTGCCACATTGCTCCTCTATCCACTATCATATGCCTTTTCTAAATCCATAAATGCAATTAAAAACTTCCCTACCTTTATCTAAATACTGTTCACATATATGCTCAATGTAAACACTTGATCTACACATCCCCTACCCACTCTGAAGCCTCCCTGCTCATCCGCAATCCTACATTCTGTCTTACCTCTAATTCTTTCAATTATAATCCTACCGTATACTTTTCCTGATATACTCAGTAAACTTATTCTCTCATAATTTTTACAATCTCTTTTGTCCCCTTTCCCTTTTTATAAAGGGACTATACATGCTCTCTGCCAATCCCTAGGTACCTTCCCTCTTTCATACATTTATTAACAAAAGTACCAACCACTCCAACACCATCCCCCCTGCTTTTAACATTTCTGTCATGATCCATCAGTTCCAGCTGCTTTACCCCCTTTATTCTACGTAATGCCTCGCGTACCTCCACCTCACTTACATTCTGCTCTTCTTCACTCCTAAAAAGGGTATCCCTCCCTGGCCATGCATGAAATTACCGCCTCCCTTCTTCCTCAACATTTAAAAGTTCCTCAAAATATTCTCGCCATCTACCAATACCTCCCTTCTCCAATTACTAACCCCTACTCTGTTTTAACGACAACCATACTTTCTCTAGGCTTTCTTAACTTTTTTAAACTCCCCCCAAAAATTTTTTTTTTTTTCATTAAAATTTTTGACGTGCCTCTCCACTATATCTGCTCCCTTTTGCACTTTTCACCACTTTTCACCTTTTTTTACTCTCCATATACTCTGCTTTCTTATAACATTTCGTTTTTAAAAAACCTCTCATAAGCTACCTTTTCTCTTTTATCAACCCCCTTTACTTCATATTCCACCAATCACCCTCTTTCCCCCCGCCCCCCCTCCTAAACCAAAAAATTCTGCCCCCCATTCAAAATAGCTTTTTTTTAAAACTTTTCCAAACCCTCTTCAAAACCCCCCCCCCCCCTAATCTTTGCATCCCCTTTTCTCCCCTATTTGGGTTCTTGTAAAAAAAGGGGGTTAAAGGAAGACAAGACCTGAAGTCCCCCCCAGTTACCTGGGGTGGGGATTTTCCACGAAAATAACCCATGATTTTTGAAGGGGGAAAGATACAAGAAATCTGAAGGTAGAGGTACACAGACTGTGGGGTTGGAAAAGTACATGTGGGGCATCAGAAAACTCTTAACAGGAAGGAGGCCTAAGAGAAGATAAGAGTGAAGGGGAACAGGGGTGGATCAGTCCCCATCAATGGTTTAAGCTCTTAAATATATTCTGAGATAGTTCAAGTTTTTAGGGGGACAAGGCGTATTGGTACATATGGAGAGGAAGGGGGCGGCGAGTAAATATGGGGGTGACATGGCTGACTAAAGGGGGGGGAGGTCGAAAGGGTGGGGGAAACTGGAGAGGAAGTGACCTGGGAGAGGGCAGATGAAGAAACTTGGGAGGGGATGGGGAAAAAGGTACTGTACGAGGAGGATAACCTCCAAACTTTTAAGAGCCATTTAAAAGGTGAAGAACCGGGTACAGACTGAGAAGAAAAAATGTGCAGGTTGCGAAGGGAAGGGGGGGCTAAATGAATTTTAACAATGGGGATGTTTTGTGCTTCGGAAAAGGGGAAAGGGGGCAAGGGGGAAAGTGGTGTTGTAGAGGTTTTTTAGATAAACTTGTGAGTGAGAAGAGGAAGAGGCGAGAACAGAAGAGGTCCAAGGTAGGGGCCTCAGCCAGGACAGCAAAAAAAGAGACGGGGGTGACTGGGGAAAGGGGGGGCCACAGGGGCTGTGGCAATTGGGCCCCCATAGGGGGGGATATGCTTAGTAACCGAGAATAAAAAAGGGGGGAAAGTCCCCTTGGAGGCGTTGATGAGACTCCCATAGATATGGGAGGCCTTCTCCCTCAGACAACAGATTTCTGCTCATTTAAGTTTAAAATTGGGATGGCGGGGGGGGTAAAATGGGAGAGCCCATACATTAAAAAAGGGAGAAGATACAAGACACTTGGGATTGTATCGCACCCCCGACTGGGCATTGACCACAGACCGCCCAATTTTACTGGAAAGACCAAAATGCCAGCAATTTCTCACTAGTTGTAAGGAAGAAAGTCATGAACTTGGGTAGCATTCTGGGAAAATGAGATGCACCACTGTGGAAGCCTTTTTTCTTAGGGAAAACGGGGAAATCTGCCATTGATACAAACATTCCCCTGCAGAAGGCCATAAGAAAGTGGGGTTTGCCTTGTATACCAAAAAAAAAAAAAAAAAAAAAATGGAAAGATTTAAATATCACTGCCATTACAGGTAGGAATGGTGCAAAAATATAGGTTTCCCTCCCCGGGGTATAAATTAACATTCAATACCCGTTTTAAATTTCTCCCAAATAATGTATTAGTCTAAAAATTGTTAGTAATGAACATTTAAAAATTTTATTTCTTTAGGGTCCATGCAGACAGGTAAAGCAAAATAACAAGTGAGATTTTCCATTCTGGGTCGCTATAGTAAAAGGGGAAAACTATCGACATTAAACTATTATACAAGGGGAAATTATTCTTTCCAAAACTTAATAAAAACAAAAAAAATAAAATTTGTTTAAAGAAAGGGGATCAAAAACTAAAATTTTTCTACATAATTTCCCGTCACCAGAAGGGGCCCTCAAAAAGGGAAAAAATAGATAAAGCCTGGCCCAAGATTTTTTTTTAAATTGTATGTCTGCATTAAAAACTAATATACAATTACTTTTAGACATTTATCCACGGAGTGTTTTGAGAATTTGAATTGTCAAAACTAGCCTGAAGGCAATGTTACAAGCAGGTTGATAAATCCCAGTGTTAAACATTTTCAACTTTTTATTTTAAACAAATTGTCCCCCAAAAGGGTTGGGGGGTCCAATTTTTTTTGGAAACAAATTTTAGATTACACAATGATTTAAACCCCCAAAAATTTAATTAGATTTTTTTTTTTTTCTCTCCAAAGTTTAATTTTTGGGACAGTGACAACTTTTAAAAAATCTACAAGGCTCTACTCTGAGGTGTCTTAAGGTTTTCCCTTCCTTTTCCCAAAACTCTTGGTCTTCTTTGAAAGTAAAATTAAACAGATAGAAAAAAATTTTTGGTCTTTTTAAACCATAAAAACACTTGGAACAATTTATTAAGCATAGAAAAGGTAAGGTGATGAGGGTATCAAATGATTTAGATAAAGAAAAATTGGATATCAAATTGGGGAGGAGGAGTATGGAAGAAGTGAATGTTTTCAGATACTTGGGAGCTGACGTGTCGGCGGATGGATTTATGAAGGATGAGGTTAATCATGAATTGATGAGGGAAAAAAGGTGAGTGGGGGCGTTGAGGTTTATGTGGAGTCAAAAAACTTTATCTATGGAGGAAAGAAGGGAATGTATGAAAGTATAGTAGTACCAACACTCTTATATGGATGTGAAGCTTGGGTGGTAAATTTGCAGCAGCGAGGAGAGGGTTGGAGGCAGTGGAGATGTCCTGTCAAGGGCAATGTGTGGTGTAAATATTATGCAGAAATTCGGAGTGTGGAAATTAGGAGAAGGTGTGGATTTAAATAAAAGCATTAGTCAGGGAGGGCAGAAGAGGGGTTGTTGAGGTGGTTTGGTCATTTAGAGAGAATGGATCAAAGTAGAATGACATGGAAAGCATATAAATCTATAGGGGAAGGAAAGAGGGGTAGGGGTCGTCCTCAAAAGGGGTTGGAAAGAGGGGGTAAAGGAGGTTTTTGTGGGTGAGGGGTTTGGACTTCCAGAAAGGGTTTGCATGAGCGTGTTAGATAGGAGTGAATGGAGACGAATGATACTTGGGACCTGACGATCTGTTGGAGTGTGGCAGGGTAATATTTAGTGAAGGGATTCAGGGGGAAACCGGTTATTTTCTTATAGTCGGACTTTAGTCCTGGAAATGGGAAGTACAATGCCTGCACTTTAAAGGAGGGGTTTGGATATTGGCAGTTTGGAGGGGTATGTTGTGTATCTCTTACGTATATGCTTCTAAACTGTTATATTCTGAAACACCTCTGCAAAAGCAGTGATAATGTGTGAGTGTGGTGAAAGTGTTGAATGATGATGAAAGTATTTTCTTTTTGGGGATTTTCTTTCTTTTTTTTGGGTCACCCTGCCTCGGTGGGAGACGACCGACTTGTTGGGGGGGGGGGGGGGGAATACTTTTATACTATTTACAAATAAAAATCAGTGCCTCTACATAAGTGACATTTATGGATATCGAGGTCTGACTGCTATACAATTCCTCTAATTGCTCTATCATTAGAAGATAATGTGAAAATTCCCTTACGTCAAAGCTACATTCCCATCTATGAAGCAAATATATATTTGACCTAATTCTGCCATTTAAGGCAAGATTTACAAGTTTCATACATGACAGGCATTTTCAGGCTTTTAATCATGTCAAAAAGAATCAACTTGAAATGTCAAAGCAGATGGGCAAGGAAAAAATCAAATAAGCAAAGGAAGGATAGCCCCAAATCCTTGCACCCAGACTTTCACTAGCATGAAGGCACTTTCTTTGAAGGGTCAGGATTTTAAGATCTTAATACTTACTGACAAAACTTCTTTTACAAGAGCCTTGTCTGTAGACATCTTTGCTTTCTTTATTGGAGACACCTCTGTCCCTACCCAGGTCACCAATAGGAACTTTGACCGCTTGCTCATCTCGTCTCCTGTCTGGAACAATGCAAGTAAAATTTGAGAATACTCATTTCAATTAATTTTCCAAGTCATTAAACCCTAAATTGGCTTCGATAAATTAAAGTTTACTATCTATAGAAAAAAAAAAAGCCATGAAAATTACATTTAAAAGTTACTTATTTAATGATTAAACAAATTTTATACAGCAATGTTGAAAAATACATTAAGCTTTACATCCATTAATATTTTTTTTACAGCTTATTTACTGTAGAGGACAACAGGAAAAGGTTGTATACAGCATAACAAAGGAGGGTATCGTATTCATAAAATTAAACTAGGTAAGCAATTCAGGAAATACTGTATACTAAATAACATGCCTGCAGGCGAATGTATGCAAAAGCTCTCTCATCGTCACCAAACTGTGCCTTAAAGTCATCAAATGTCTCGCCCTTTGCAGACACTATGACTTGGCTCCCATCATACTTGAACACTGCCCTGGAAAAGCAATTTCAAATAAATATTTTAGACATTAAAGAAAGCTCAAAAACCATGTGTTCATATTTTCTTTCAAAAAGTTCCCTGCTTTTATTTATTACGGGTATAACAATTTAAAGAGCCAGAAGTGAAAAGACTTGCCTGTGCATTCTTCCGTGCTGATGCATTAGTGTTTTTAAGATACAATACGACTAAATTAAACTTGCCATATTTTTTAATGAAGCTTATTCTGGACCTGTTACTACTAAAATAATGCTTAACTAACTGAACAGGAATAGCTAAATTAATAATTCCATGGAAATCATTCTTTCTTCTCAGCACTGTCCTTTACACTTACTTTCTTAGAACCCACGCTTAGAAAAACGAAATTTGGCCAAATGACTAAAAAGTGTAAGCAAAGCATGAAATGCTCCCACACTGAGGAAAACAGTGCACCAAGTTGGTGGCATTCTGAAGCTCTATCATTATTATTACATGTATAACAGCAAGCGAGCTTCAGTTCCCTAAATTAATAATTATAATATGTAATAATAAATAATAATACATAACACGTAACAATTCAGAATGCTGCCACTAGTTGGCGCAGTCAATGGCAAAACATCCGGTAAGGAGTCCACATGTTTACATCGCCATGGGAGTACTTCTCTCATGCTTGCATTTTTTTTTTTTACAGCTATTTGGCCAAAATTTTTTCTAACTATGGGTCCTAAGAAAAGTGCAAAAGACAGTGCTGAGAAGAAAAAGAGGACAATTTCCATGGAATTAAAGCAAATTGCGTCAAATTTCAGCAATCAAACAAAAATTGTATCATCACTAGTCATATTATGGCCTATTTTATTCATTCTATAGTACATGTATATCATGTTTCTCTGTTAATTATATTGTTTATTATGTCATATTAGATGAATTGTGATAGATAAATAAGCTGTAGAGTTACATTGAAATATTTTGTCCTGCTGCTGGGACAGATTAATGGCATTTCAATTAATTTATTTGAGGAAAATTTATTTGATATACAGTGGTACCTTGGGATACAAACTTAGTAATTCGTTCCAGAAGGCTGTTCGAGTGCTAATACTGAACGAATTTGTTCCCATAAGGAATAATGTAAATTAGATTAATCTGTTTCAGACCCCCAAAAACACACTTAAAAAAGCACTTACATAAATACACTTACATAATTGTTCAAGTTTTGAGTTGTTCGTATCCAGAGGTACCATTGTACAAGCAAATTGAGTTATAAGCTAGGTCACGGAATGGATTAAACTAAAGTCAAGGTTCCACTGTATCACCAAAATATTCAAGAAGTTATAAATGCCACTTTGCTTCTCAGCCTTCTTTTCTCCAATTTAAAGAGTAAATACATGCAAGCATTTCTCTGTACACATGTACACAGTATTTTGCAAACACTGGCCATCTCCCCAAAAATACTAGACACACCCAAACCAAAATGTTCATCACTCATTCAATGGCTATCTTGTCAGAATGAGCACCCCG